CACACCCTTAACTAAGATCATACTCAGTGTGTGTTGTAGTAACACTGATGCAGTAGTGCACCTCTACCTCCATGTTACCCTCCAGGTCAGTTTGAATCTACTAAACCTTCTGACACACAACAAACATTCGTTGTGTTTAGAGAACATGGAGGAATAAAAAGTAACCCGGAGAAAACATGAATGAGTCATATTAAGAACATGAGGTAACGCAGACTTCAGCCTGAAATATAAAAAATGATCCTGATGAAAAATATATAAAATGTTTCACCTGTTTTCAGATGAAAATTTAAAAAATGAACCGATTTCCTGCTGGGGGAAAATGTGCCAGTTGAAAAATTGTTAATGATCTTATATTTCTCAGCTGTTCTTAAGTCATAAACACTCTGTACATCTGTAGATCACTGACTACATGTCTTGTGAAGAAGCTGAGTGACTGTTTGAGTTTAGAGAGAATCATTTAAATTCATATTTATTCTCATTATCAACACGTTTAATGAAATCTTTAGTAAAGAGGTCAAAGTGTTTACTTCATCATTTTAAGGGTTAATTGTAAAAACAAATGTTATTTCAGATTTAATGGATTAACAGATTGTTTTTTCTCACTTGGCCCTCAGGGCTTCCGTAGATTTCATTTTTGGGAGAATATGGTAATTAATAAACAAAAGCATCTACAGGAGGACGGTTGGTCCCATTTCAACATTACTTACAGAATGTTCGGCAGAAGATTAAAACAAATATATAACTGTCGTTACACTTTTTGGCTTCATAAACATTTTGGTAGAAATCTCAGGTTTGAATTTGTTTTTCTCACCGCGTCAGCGTCGGCTCCCGGCAGCAGGATGACTCTCACGTACTGTTTGTTGACGACCTCTAACCGCTCCACCTGCACACAAAACACACAAATATATTCATATATTCAGGACTGATGTGGACTCTGAATCAGACTCCGTGTGTCCCGGCACTAATGTCCCGGTGTGATGTCCTCACCATTCCTCTGCTCACGTATCGGTGGACGAAGTCCTTCCAGCTGATCTCTCTGCCGTTGTCTCTGAAGTAGAAGAACAACACGGCTGAACTGACTCCGGCCGCCGCGATGGCCAGATACCTGAAGTCCTTCTCGTCCCAGGGGACGTCTCCCTGGAGAGCAGCAGAGATACACGGGGACACGTTAGACAGCTGGTGGTGAGACGAGGGACATTATAGTCGCCTCTTCAGTATAGAAAAGGAAAAGAATGTTCCCGAGTATTTCTATCATGAAGGTAAAAGAAGAGAAGTTTCTTATAAAAGCTGTTTAATGAAATCTTGTCTTGTTAAATCTTTCATCATTATTCTACAAACAAATCTTTGAAGGAGAATGTTAGAACACACCTCATCACACCGGAATTATGAATTATGAATTAAATGTGACGACACAAACCTTCTGCATTCGGCTCCACCAGTCTTTTCCTCCTCTCTTCCCTCCACCTGAGGATCTTCCTCCTGCTCCTGCTGCTCCTCCTCCTCCTGCTCCTCCTGCTCCTCCTCCTCCTGCTGCTCCTGCTCCTCCTGCTCCTCCTGCTCCTCCTCCTCCTCCTCCTGCTGCTCCTCCTCCTCCTCCTCCTCCTCCTGCTGCTGCTCCTCCTCCTGCTGCTGCTCCTCCTCCTCCTCCTGCTGCTCCTCCTCCTCCTCCTCCTGCTGCTGCTCCTCCTGCTGCTGCTCCTCCTGCTGCTGCTCCTCCTGCTGCTGCTGCTCCATCTGAAACTCACATGTGATTGTTGGATCAAACCAGTGTTTCTAACCTCAGTACGATATAGTTTCTGGTGCTGATGCTGATTCCAAACATCAGATGAACAACTAAACTGCATCATTTATTGTATTTAAACTGGCTTATTTACAACATGAACAGACAGAACTACAAGTGGTTCATTTGTAGTTTCATTTAGTCTCTAGTTGTTTCCGCTGCCGACTGGAATTAAATCTAAGTGACTAAACTTGATTTAATGTTTCCGTATGTGTGGCCTGCTGGTTCTCTACGTGGATGAAGATGAAGATCTTGTAGGTCAGATGTTGCATCAATAAGAAGCTTTGGGAGTAAATCTTAATGTGCACTTTATCTTTTTCTTTGTCAGCAGCTTGTTGTTCTGAACCCGACTGAGGACAGACGAGCACGAGATCCAGCTGTTCTTCTTTATTCACACATCTGCTCTCACCTTTAGGTTCAGTGGAGTAAAGTCGCCGCTGAGCTGCCTGGAGTCTGGGACAGGACAGGAGGAGGTTCAGTGGAGTCCGACAGACGCTCTGAAACAAGGAGCATGAGAAGGAGGATGAGCTAAATGAACTCAACATGATGTTGATATTGAAACACCTCAACGATAACCACGTTCTCTCTCTCCTGGTCCGAGTCAGTCTCTCCTGGTCCGATTCAGACCAGGAGAGACTTTACCACCAACAGTAAAATATGGTGGTGGTAGTGTGATGGTCTGGGGCTGTTTTGCTGCTTCAGGACCTGGAAGACTTGCTGTGGTAAATGGAACCATGAATTCTGCTGTCTACCAAAAAATCCTGAAGGAGAATGTCCGGCCATCTGTTCGTGACCTCAAGCTGAAGCGCACTTGGGTTCTGCAGCAGGACAATGATCCAAAACACACCAGCAAGTCCACCTCTGAATGGCTTAAGAAAAACAAAATGAAGACTTTGGAGTGGCCTAGTCAAAGTCCCGACCTGAATCCGATTGAGATGCTGTGGCATGACCTTAAAAAGGCGGTTCATGCTCGAAAACCCTCCAAT